GCGAGCACAAGTCCATTCCAGACTCTGAATAGTGAACAATGCACAAGTCTTGCACCATCCAAATTACAGCTTTGACAGTACCTTCCAAACTCTTGATCCCTACCTTAAGGACAAGTAGTTGCATTAACACCTTCCCTCCCAAGCCACACTATCCTTACTTGGAATTTCTATTGCTGTTCCTTCAGTGTCACTGGGGCAAATACCTGGAGCTCCCTCCGACCCACTGTATACCTACACACCAGGACTGCAGTGGTTCAAGAAAGCAGCTCCCTATGACCATTAGGGTAACTAGGGATGGGCAATAAATGTTAGCCTAACCAGTGGTGCCCACATCCCTCGTAGAAAATGCTTCCCTATCCTTTCATTTTGAATCCTGCAAAACTGCATTTTTTTTAAAAAAAAAAAGCAAACTAGCTCGTCTAATACCATTTTCCAGCACTTGCCCATAACCTGGTATACCTTGGCAGTGCAATTGTACATCTAAATAAAATGTTGAGTTTCTGCCTTTACCACCTTGCAGGCAGTTCCAGATTCCTACCACCCTCCAGGTGAAAAAATACTTCATCCCTTACCTTTTCAGATTTGTCCCCGTACCATTGAGCCCCGCAGGTGAAATTTCTTCCTGTCTGCTAATTTCCTATATCTCAATTATACTGCCCCCATCTGCTGTGCTCCAAGGAAAGCTGCTTTAGTCTGTCCAATCTCTCTAACTAAAACTCTCCAGCTCAGACAGCACCCAGGTAAATCTCCCCCGCACCCTCTCCAGTGCAGTCATATCCCTCTTATAACGTACATTCCAGAACTGCACAATGCTCCAGTTGTGGCCTGAGCCTTTTATAGTGTTCCAGCATAACCTTCCTGCTCTACCTTGATTAACTGGGGCATAGTTTAAGTTCCCCAGATGTTGTCATAATCTTTCTGTCCACCTGTCCTGCTACCTTTTAGGATTAGTGGATGTGCCCAGCAGGGTTGATCTGCTTGGTGCTTCCCAGGGTCCTCATTCTCTCGTGTTGTTTGACCTGCTCAAGTGCATCACTTCAGATTTATCTGGATTAAATTCCACCTGCCCCTAAGCAGCCTGTCTGTTTCCAATTCTCATACCAATTTTTGTATCATCCATGAACTTGAAGATCAACTCTCCAACATTCAAGTCTGTTGTTATATACAGCAAATAGAGGAACCCCATCAGATACTGATTTCAGTCAAAAGCTTCTTTGACCAATCACCCTCTACTTCCTGCTGCTCAGCTAATTCTAGATCCAAATAGCCAAACTTCCTTGAACTTTTACCCTCCCCATCAATCTGACATGCAGGACCTTTTTTATTAATAACTTGCTGAGACAAAAGGTGGTGGTAGAGGGTTGTTTATTGGACTGAAGCCCTGTGGCCAGTGGTGTTCACAAGAAACAGTACTGGATGTGCTTTTGTCACTTATATAAAATACTTGGGTGAGAACATAGGCATAGTAAGTTTGTGAATGACACCAAAATTGTTGATCATGAAGGTGGTTATCAAGATGCAGAGAACATCATTGGTAAGAGCTATTGTGAAGTGGTCACTCCCAAGGTGCAGGTGGCTAGGTAAGCAGGCAAGGCAGTGCAGAATTCCCCTGTGGCCACTCCCATCAAGAGGTATACTGCTTTGGATACTGTGGGGAGGGGGGAAGAGTTGGTGGCAGTGTCAGAAGTAAGATGACCTTCCAGGGTGTAGCAGCAATAGTCAGGCCAGTGATGTCGACAAGCTCTGAGGCTCAGGGAAAGGATGCGGTCAGTGTAACACTAAGACTCAGTTGTAAGGATGACAGGAGATTCTGTGGCCACAGAAGAGACACCAGGATGGTGGGTTGCCTCCTGGGTGCCAGGGTTAAGGATGCGTCTGAGCAGTTGCAGAACATTCTGAGGGGGGAGGGTGAACAGACAGATCACTGTCTACCAATGTCATTTGTACTGATGAGCACTAAGGGATGGGGTCCTGCAAAATGAGTATAGGGAGTTAAATAAGTTTTAAAAATCAGGACCTCCAGGGTAGTGATATCCAGATTAGTCCAGTGCTACAAGCCAGTGAGGATAGAAATAGAAAGATAGGCCAGGTGAATACATGGCTGAGGAACTGGTGTAGGGGACAGGGTTTTCAGTTGTTGAGTCATTGGGATCTCTTCTGGGGTAGAGGTGACCTATACATGAGGGATGGGTTGCACTTGAACTGGAGGTGGTCCAACATCCTTGTGGGGAGATTTGCTGGTGTTACCTGGGAGGGTTTAAACTGTGGCAGAGGGTGGGACACTAAATAAGAGAGGGGCCATCGAGAGCAAGTTTGCTCTTCAGGATAACCAGGGGCACAGCAAAAGCAGGGAAAAGGCTTCTGGTCTAAAGTGCACTTATTTCAATGCATGAGGCCTGACTGTTAAGGCAGATGAGTTCAGCATTGATTGGCTCTGGGGACTGGGATACTATAACCATAAGAGACAGGGCTGAGAGAAGGGCAGTACTGGCAGCTCAGTGTTCATGGATACAGAAGCTACAGATGTGACAGAAGTACAAATAAGCAAGGAGGGGGAGTTGCCCTTTTGATAAGGGAAGACACAAAAATATCCTCTAAGCACTGTTAAGGGGTCATCAAATGAGGCCATATGGTAGAACTTGGAAACAAGAAGGAAAGACTGGAGGGTGGCTAGCTGATGTTCTTCCATTGTTTAAGAAAGGTAGCAAAGACAAGCCAGTGAGCCTGATGTAGTAGGCAAGTTATTGGTTTGAATACTAAGGGACCAGATCAACCAACATTTGGATAGTCCATGCTGATTTGTGCACAGGATGTCATGTCTGATAAATCTGAGTTTTAAGAGGATGGATGAGGGTAGGGCAGTGGATGTTGTCAATGGCCTTTGACAAGGTCCCACATGGCGAGCTAGTCATGGTGGTTAGGTTGCATGGGATCCAGGGAGAGCTAGCTAATTGGATTCAAAATTGGCTTAATGGTAGGAAGCAGAGGGTAATGGTTGAAGGTTTTCTTGGACTGGGAAGCTGTGACTAGTGGTGTGCCATGGGTTGGTACTAGGACCTTTTCTTATTTATAACTTGCATAAATGATCTGGATGTGAATTTACGAGGCATGATTAAGTTTTTGGATGATACAAAACTAGGTGGTATCATTGATAGTGAAGGAGGTTATCAAGTTAAAGGGATCTTGATCAAGTGGGGAAGTGAGCTGAGGATTGGCAAATGCAGTTGAATACAGAAGTGTAAAGTGTTGCACTTTGGAAAGTCAAACCAAAGTAGGACTTGTACTGTAAATGGTAAGGTCTTGAGTGTTGAGGCACAGAGGGACCTAGGAGTACAAGTACATAGTTTGTTGAAAGTGGCGTCACAGGTGGACAGGGTGGTGAAGAAGGCATTTAGCATGTTGGCCTTCATCGGTCGAGGCATTGAGTATAGGAGTTGGGATGTTAGTTGTGTAAGTCATAGTGGCTGTACTTGGAGAATTGTGTACAGTTTTGGTTACCCTCTTGTAGGAAAGATGTAGTTAATCTGGAAAATGTGCAAAGAAGATTTAAGGATGTTGCCAGAATTAGTGGGCCTGACTTATGGGGAGCAGTTAGCTAATTTGGACCTTTATTCCTTGGAATGTAGGAGAATGAGGGGTGACCTGTATTGAAGTATATAAAATCATGAGGGCCATAGATAAGATGAATTCATATAGTCTTCCCAGGGATGGGGAATTGAAAACTAGAGGGGAAAGATTGAAGAAGGACCTGACGGGGTGGCAACTTCATGCAGAGTGGTGAGTATGTGGAATAGGCTGCCAAAGTGGTTGAGGCAAGTACAATAGCAACATTTGGGTAGGTATATGGATGAGAAGGGATACACACCAAATGTGGGCAATTGGAACTAGCTGATTGGACACCATGGTCAGTTTGGGCTGAAGGGCCTGTTTTCATGTATTAATCTGTGATGCTAAAGATCTTCTTCAATTGAGTCAGGTGGGCTAAGGAATAGCAGATGGAATTTAATTTGCAAGGTAGTAGGAACTGCAGATGCTGGAGAATCTGAGATAACAAGGTGTAGAGCTGGATGAACACAGCAGGCCAAGCAGCATCAGAGGAGCAGGAAAGCTGACGTTTTGGGTCTGGACCCTTTAGAAAAGACCCTTCTTCCTACAATCTCAAAATTGACCTCCTCTCCAGTTTAGGACTTGGATTTCAGGCCTCTTCTTGCTATGTTCCATAACAATCTTTAATGGAGCTACAATTGCTGTCAGCAAAAGTATCCTCCACTGCTTCAACCACTTACCCACCTTTTGTTACCTAAAATAATCCAGGATTGCCCCCTTCACTTGTGGGGCTTTTTACCTACCCGCTAAAAGTATTCTCCTGGATGCATTAAGAATTCTGGTCTCTCTAACCTGTTGTTTTGGCTGTTGGAAGTTACATTTGCCAAATCACTAATCTCTTTATTTTTACAATTCGGAAACTTGCCTACATATCTGCTTTTAATTTCTCTTGGACTGTTGGGGAGCATGTAATACACTCCCAGAAATATGAATGCTCCTGTTTTTTTTTTTTTTTTTTTTTTTTTTTTGGTTTTTAAATTCTAGACATCTGTTGTTTTTATGCTGCCTTGGCTCACTTCTAATTTTAGCTGTTCATCTTCCCCTGCTAAGTATTCTGTCTAGATCCCAACCCCTAACAAGTTAGCTTAATCCCTCCCTGACATTACCAGCTAACCACTCCACAAGGATGTTGGTCCCATTCTGGTTCAAATGTAACCCATCTATCTTGTACAGGTTCCTCTGATCCCAGAAATCTAAAGCACTCCCTCCTGCACCATTTCTAGTCACACATTGATCTGGACTAACCACCTATTTCTATACTGACTTGCACATGGCACTGGAAGTAATACAACGATTGTACAATATGAGCACTATCTACAGAAACTGTTCCTTTTTTTGTTGAAGCTTGTAAATATTTTTGTCTTCAAACCTAACCGCCCCTCTCTCATTAACAGCTCATTCACCAACATCACTGGGACTTCAACCTCTTCCATCTCGATCAATGGCACAGCTTCCTCTTGGCCATGCTTGACTTCCCTTCAGTGATCTGATTTTTGCTGAATATTCAGGTTGGAAGACAAATGCAAACTGCGTTAAGTCTACGGCATTTCAGTCTGCTTTTGAAGTGTTGCAGATGAAAAACTTTTTTTCTGACCCCCTTCGTATTTATTGGCATCTAGTGGAGCACTTTTTTGTTTCTGATTCCTGTTTTTGGTTACTAATGTACTGAATGTTTACAATGTAGTGTAAATGGTAATGTTAGTTTATATTGGTAAGTTATTGTTAGAATATATTGAGTGTTTGCAAACAGTGTTTTATACAGTTTAACTAACTTGATTTATTCAAGGAAAGGAATTTGCGTAAAAAGTCCTGTTATTGTCTCCATTCTAGTTTCTGATGCACCAATGTTGGATTCTGGACTATATTAAAAAAAAATTTGCTACTGATGCCTTTGTTTCAATTACTTTATCATTAACCTGAAGTGAGCTCATTATACATGTGCATGTTATCCTGGGAGTGAAATAATAGTTATCAAGTTTCTAGCTTAATCAAGGAGAAAAATATATTTGTTGGCCTCTTAGAAATTTGACTAAATCTTAGCATATGCAATACAACAGGTTTATTTATCCCAATAGTGTTTCTGCTTCATGTGAGCAGATGGGGTGCATTAGGAAAGTGAAACTAAGGATACAGAAGGTGAAGCTTGAGCCAAGTAACTTGCTCTGCTCTTATTTCTTAACTCACCATGCCTAAACATTTTAGTTCAGTTTTCCTCTTGAGTATTTGGCTCTCCACCTGAGCAGTAAATCCTCACTTTAAAGCTGGCTTTCACTTCATCTTGTGAAAAGATGAGTTGAGCTCTTGATATCTTCCTGCCCAATTAGAAGCCAGTGTACAAGTTGCCACTCTTCTAGCTGAAAAGTTACAGAATAAATACTGATTGCAAGCAAACAAAGCTTCTTGCTGTACTTAGGTACACATGACAATAAATCAAATCAAATCAATCCAATACCATACAATTTCAGGAATCTTTTAAAGGGCACGTTCTGTATCTTTCACTCCCATCGAGCAGGGACTGAGCTGGAAGACAATTATCCAGGGGTATGTGACTTTTTGAAAGGGCAGGAAGGAAAGGTTGGTGGGTTAGCATTTTTTCTGGAAAAATAAGTACACTAACAAGAAATGATCAGAGGATTAGATTCGATAGTGGACAGTGGGAGCCTTTTTCCTCAGATGGTGATGGCTAGCACAAGGGGACATAGCTTTAAATTGAGGGGTGATAGATATAGGACAGATTGTCAGAGGTAGGTTCTTTACTCAGGGCATGGAATGCCCTGGCTGCAAAAATAGTAGACTCGCCCACTTTAAGGGCATTTAAATGGTCATTGGATAAACGTATGGATGATAATGGAATAGTTTAGGTTAGATGGGCTTCAGATTGGTTTCACAGGTCGGCGCAACATCGAGGGCTGAAGGGCCTGTACTGTGCTGTTATGTTCTATGTAAATGATCTTGGGTTCAAAAATATAGATCCATGGGGGTGTAGGTTGTTTTTTCAAAAAAAAAAAAAATACACCCTTCAAGTACTCTGGATATGTACTGTATAGGGTCAAACCCTTTTAACTCCCACTCCCTGATATGTCCATCCTAGGCTGCCTCCATTACCATAATGATACCACACGCAAATTGGAGGAGCAGCACCCCATGTTCTGTCTCAGGAGCCAACAGCCCAATAGACTGAACATAGAATTCCCCAGTTTTAAAATCTCCCAGACCCTTGGCCTCATCCCACCTCCAATCCTCCCTCATCCCTGCTTCCTTGACCAGACACAACCTGTCCATCTTCCCCATCTATCTGCCCCACCCTTCCAACTAACCCATCCCTACCTGCATCCACCCATCACCAATCCTGCCTACCTTTCCCCAGCCGCATCCAGCCTCCCTGTATTTATTTCTCAGCTCCCTTCCCCCTCCTCAGTTCTGATGAAGGGTCCTGACCCAAAACATTGATTATTTTTTCTGTTCCTCTGCTGTCTGACTGGTGTTCCTCCAGCCCACATTGTGACTCTGACTCCAGCATCTGCAGTTATTGCTATTCTGTGTAACAAATGCAGACCACTAATTATAAGGTGAGTTTAATCTTCATGTAGATTAACAGAGGAAGCTATGATTTAAAAATTCACATGTATTTGGGACAGTTTCTTAGAACAATGGATGCAACAAGGGGTCAGACTATTTTTAGATCTGGTAATATGTAATGATGCAGGTTGAGTAAAATATCTCAAAACAGTGACGATTACATGGTAGAATTTATTATTCAGTTTGAGAGGGAGGAACTTGGGTCAGAAACAACTATTCTGAGATTAAATAAAGTTAATACAGTAATTTTAAATAGCAAGTTCAAGAGACAGGTCTGGCTGGAACAGGACAGGGAGCGAGGAATGCCTGTTGGATTAAATTGCATCTATTTCAATGCAAGAGAGCTGACAGGTAAGGATGATTAACTAAGGGTATGGATAAGCATGAGTGGGATATTATAGCCATTACAGAAACATGGCTAAGGGAGGGACAGGACTAATGGCTTATTATGGCAGATACAGGTGTTTTAGGCAGGATAGAGGGGAGGGGAGTTGCATTTTAGATTAAGGGGAGTATCATAGCAGTAGTGAGATGAAATAACAGGGATCATCCAGTGAGGCTTTGTGGGTGGAGCTAAGACATAAGGGGATGGTAACGTTATTGGGGTTGTACTCTCAGCCCCCAAATAGTTAACAGGAATTAGAGGAAGAAATATTCAGGGAAATTGACGAGTTGCAGGAGAAATAGGGTTGTCATAGTGGGGAGTTTTAATTTTCCTAACAGACTGGGACTGCCATGGTGTTAAGGGCTTAGATGGGATGGAATTTGTTAAATGTGTTCAAGGAAGTTTCCTCGGGCAGTCTATAAAGGGCCCTACTCGGGAAGGGGCAAAATTCAGCATACTCCTAGGAAATAGGGCAGGACAAGTGACTGAGGGACAGTAGGGGAGCACTTTGGGACCAGTGACCAATAACATAGTTATGGAAAAGGACAAAACTAGTCCACAGGTTCAAGTTCTAAATTGGGGCAAGGTGAATTCTGATGGAATTAGACAGGAGCTTGCAGGGTTGATTAGAGTAGTTTGTTTGCAGGCAAAGGAACTTCTGGCAAGTGGGAGGCCTTTAAAAGTGTGATAGCTAGAGTTCAAGATCTATATGATCCTGTGAGGGTAAAGGGCAAGGTTGGCAAAAAGAGGCATAGCTCAGGAACAGGCACCTGGGATCGAGGAAATTCCTGGCAGTATATAGGGGATACAGGAGTTTACTGAAGAATGCAATCAGGAGCATGAAAAGGCAACATGAGATAGCTTTGGCTGAGAAGATTAGGGTGAATCCAAAGATTTTGGTTCTTTTTACTTACGACAAAATAGGACCCCTCAAGGACTAAAGTGGACATGTATGGTCCTCAATGAATATTTCTCCTCTGTTTACCGTGGAGAAAGACATGAAGACTTGGGAAAAGTTAGTGGTGATATCTTTGGGACAGTCCATAACACAGTAGATGCAGTGTTGGAAGTATTAGAACATATGAAGGTGGACAAATCTCCAGGTCCTGATCAGATATATCCAAGAACCCTGCAAGAAGTTTGAAAAGAAATTGTGGGGGGCCTGGCTGATATTTGCATCATTAGCCAAAAGACTGGAGGGTAGTAAATGTAGTACCTTATTCAAGAAGGGCTGCAAAGAAAACATGGGAATTGTAGACCAGTTAGCTTAACATCTGTGGTAGGAAAGTTACTTGAGGATTATGAGGCATAAGACATACGTTTGATTAGTCAACATGTAATCAGCATGACTTCATTTGTGGGCGATCATGCCTCAAATTTGTTAGAGTTCTTTGAAGTGACCAGAAAGTTTGTTGAGGGCAGGGCAGTAGATGTAGTCTATATGGATTTCAGTAAGGTCTTTGGTAAGGTTCCACATGATGGGCTGCTCTGGAAGGTTGGATTGCATGGAATCCAGGGAGAGCTCGCAAATCGATTACACAATTGGCTTGATGGTAGGAAGCAGAGTAATAGTGGAAGGTTGCTTGTCACACTGGAGGCCTGTGACTGACTGACTGCCTCAGCTTGGTGCTGGGCCTATTGCTGTTGTTATCCATAATCAATGATTTGGATGAGAATGTACAAGGCATAATTAGCAAGTTTGCAGATGACACTAAAATAGGTGGTATTGTGGACAGTGAGGAAGGTTATCAAAAATTGCAGCAGGATGCTGATCAGCTGAGGAAGTGGGCTGAGAAATGGCAAATGGAATTTCATATAGATAACTGTGAGGTGTTGTGTTTTGGAAAGTCAAGTGAAAGTAGGAGTTTCTTGATGAATGCCAAGGCCTTAAGGAGTGTAGTGGAACAGAGGGACCTTGGAGTTCAGATGCATAGTTTTCTGAAAGTGGAGTCATAGGTAGACAGCGCAGTGAAGAAGGCTTTTGGCACACTAGCCTTCATCAGTCAGGGTATTATGTATAGAAGTTGGGAAGTTATGTTGCAGTTGTACAGGGCTTTGGGGCCACAGTTGGATTATTGCATTCAGTTTTGGTCACCTTGTTATAGGCAGGATGTTATTAAACTGGCAAGAGTGCAGAAGAAATTTACAAGGATGTTGCCAGGACTCCAGGGACTGAGTTATAGAGAGGTAGAAACAAGATGAGGGAGTATTTAATGAATGGCAGGACACTGGGCAACTAAGGGGAATAGAGGGACCTTGGCATAATTGTTCATAGATCCCTGAAGTTTGCAGCGCATGTGAATAGGATAGTTAAGAAGACACATGGAACACTTGCTTTCATCAGTCGTGGCATTAAGTATAAGAGCAACAAGGTAAAGTTAGAGTTGTACAGAGCATTGGTCAGGCCACAGTTGGAGTACTGTGTGCACTTCTTGCTACCTCACTACAGGAAGGCTGTGATAACACTAGAGAGGGTACAGTTTAGGTTCACCAGGATGTTGTTTGGGATGGAGAGATGAGCTTTAAGGAGAGACCAGATAGGCTTGGATTGTTTTCTTTAGAGCAGAGAAGACTGAGGGGTGGGGAGGCATGATTTGAGGTGTATGAGATTGAGGTGTATGAGATTGAGGGGTATGAATAGAATGAATAGACAGCAGCTGTTCCCCTTGTTTGAGGGGGTCAGTCACAAGGAGGCATAATTTTAGAATAATGGGCAGGAAATTCAGAGGGAATTTGAGAAAAAAACTTTTCACTCAGTAGGTGGTTGGAATCTAGAATGGACTCCCTGAGAATGTAGTGGAGGCTGGAAATCTTACAACCTTTAAAAAATATTTGGATGAGTATTTGAAATATCATAATATTCAAGGATATGGGGCAAGTGCAGGAAATTGGGATTAGGGCATCTTTAGTGACC